GTTTGTTTGCTAGAGGTTTATATAATAATAATATTTAGTTATTATTATTATTATATTTTATATATTGTTTGCAATAGCAATCAGTAATGTATTGTTTTATAGAAAGTGCAGTATATTATTACTGAATATACTGTATTTTATTATTTCAAAAATTAAAAAAWATATATATATATTCAATATAAATTGCAAAACAAATGCTTTTTTAAAAAAATTATTATATCTTTATTATATATTATATGTTTATTCACATAATCTTTGGATAAAATGTCATAATATTTTTACAACAAATATTATAATATTTGTAAATATATAATCATATAATAAATTATAAGTTATAGAGTTAAAGAAAATTGCTCCTAATATCTAATGTGTGTGTAATTTGATGAGAGAAAATTGAAAGTTACTATAATTTTTCTCTAATTTAATTAGCATTTTAAAAAGCAAGCAAAAAAATTATACACAATATTTGCATTATTATTTATTTCAATTGGTATTATAATATTAAGTGATTTATTAAATGGGAAATACATAAACACTGATCGTAAACAATATTTTTGTTAAATAAATATTATAATATGTTTTTTATGCAAAAAAATAAAGAGTAAGCGATTAGATTATGTGATTCATAAATCACAGGTTTATATATATATATATATATTTCTTGTTATTATAAATACTAATACTGAATATAATTTATTTAATATAACTTCAATGACATTAGGGAAAAAAATGATATATAGCTAATATAGTGTAGTGTATACTGAGTATATCCATATAACATATAATTAATTAAATATTATTTATTAATGATGGGCTCAGTTGACTTTCTCGACTTTTTATGTGTTTTATATCATTTAATACCTGTACAGTATACTGATATACCACCCAATAGATGACCTATTGAGAGGTTATGTATTTTTATTTTATATGTAATTATGTTCACATAATGTATTAGTATTGTGTTTTTGTGATACTATAACCAGTTGCAAATAATCCAATAATAATAATACTAATATAATAATATAAGTGCTATTGTATTATTTGATTTGTRAATCAATTTGAAATATTTTATATATATAGATAAAGAAARTTTTAAAAATAGATAAAAATAACAAATTATTGAATTGAAAATTATTTCTATAAATTTTTATTGTTTCGAAAAAAACACGTCGAAAAATAGCAAAATAAAAATCATTATTCAAATTATTAAATAAATTGATCAAACAGTGTTTAAAATATACAGTATATCTACGATATATTGTATTATATGTAAAAAAAAGTTTAAAACGTCTAAATGGTTTATATTAATTTATTTAAAAAGGCCTCAAATTTAAATTAGATAATAATAATAAATTTCAAACAGTTTTTAAAGGCAATTTGATTTGAAGCAAAAAATGTAAATTTCAAATTCAATTTGCATTTAAAAAGATTAAATGCATTACAATTTAATAATCTCAATAATAATAATAATAATACCTTAAGTTATTTGTTATATAAATAATAATAATGTAATAGTATTAAAATAAATTTGTTTKKATAGAAAAATAAAAATAAATAAATAAAAATTTATAAAATAGCCATATTATTAAGTAAAATAAAATTTACACAATTACTTAATAAAGTTATGCATACATGTTAACAAAATAAAAATATTATTTAATTTTATTTTAAACATAAAAATTTGCAAACAAATTTATTTTATTAAAAATTAATATAATTACATTAGTCAAAATCTACATAATTTAATAATTGTATTTATTTTTGTTAGAGTATTATTTTGCATTACTGATATGCTATATTAAATTCATAATTTATTGTATGATTAGTTTTAATAAATTTATAAATAAATTAAATATATAATAAAAATTATTCCACACTTTAATAAATAKTTTGTTATGATAAACTATTTATATAATATTAACAAAAAAAGAGAGAGAGATTTTACAGTAAATAATTTTAAATCATTTGTAAATTATTGCACTAAATTTTTTTTTAAAAAAAGTATATAACGAGATATATTTTTATTTAAAAAATAAATGTTATCTTTTATTACAAATAATATCGTGTGTAACGGCTATTAACATAAATGGTTTTTATGTCCGATATTATAGAAAATAAAATGTTTTTTTAAATAATAATATATAGTATAATAGCTATTTGTATTTTTCATTTACAAATATTTTATTTCATTTTATTTTATTATACATATAAATTTTTATACTTAAATGTTTGTGTAATGTGTATTAAATTTAATAGAAATATTATATATAATAAATTATATGGATATAACATTCATTGTTTAATAAAATCAATTTTATAATATTTATAATAATATTAATATTTTATTTACACATTATATACGGYATATTGATATATATATATGATATACGTGTGTTTAATCCTCTTAAACAAAGCATTTCCTGATAAATAACTTATCAATACATAAATATTTAAAAAATATTTATCTCAWAAAACATCTGATATTTATATAATACTGTCGACACTGTGTGTGTGTGTGTGTGTGTGTGTGTGTGTGAGAGAGAGAGAGAGAGAGAGAGAGAGAGAGAGAGAGAAAGAGAGAGAGATAGAGTTAAAATCCAATAATGAAATTTATTGTTTTTCATATAGTTTTTTATTATAAAAATATATTATTATATTTAATAAATAATTTTATTATTTCTCTCATTTATATATATATATACTAATTATGGTTATCAATGATGACAACCAATGGCACAGGTATTTCATGTTTGTCAGCCGGACGGCCGTGAGTTTAGTTTTCTGTGTCCCAATAGTACACTATATCACCAAAAGGTACAGACATGCGACTGGTGGTACAATGTTAACTGTGCCGAATCGCCCAGGTACTTTTATTTGAACGCCCGGATCGGTGTATTGCCGTCTATTGATTCAACACTTTACCGGTTTGATCCGCAGCCCATCGGATCCCGAAAGTGATGGCTGAATGTAATCATATGATATTGTTATGCAAATTATCATTTTTTTTAATAAATTTTTGTTTGTTTGTTAGATATAATGTTTATGTATTATGAATTTCCAGGTAATAAAAATAAATAAAATATTATTATTAATATATATATAATAATTTTGAAATTTTATTTTCTCATTAAATTTGGCTTTAAAATAGTGAAAATTATTTTCAACTTAAATAATATATGATAGTTATATATAATAAACTAATTTTACGATAACTATATTGATATGTGAAATATTTTATGTGTAAATCATTTATTATTTTTTTGCTTTTTCTTTAGATTATAAATTAAAATTGAAAGCATTTTTAGCATATTTTTTGTTATAAAAAATATGATTTGTCATCAAAATATTTTAAGTATTTAGTAATAACTTTTTTTATATGTTGTTAAAAGGTTTGTCATAAAGTCAATCCTTAAATAGAGGAAGTAATAAGAAAATCTTTTTTTTTTTTTTTTTTTGATTATATTAGAAATATATACTAAAATACTTTAAATATCAGACAATATATGGTAAAAACAATTATAAACTTTTTTATATAATAAAAATTTTGAATCACAATGTTTATTAATATAAATGACAAAAACATTTTCTAAAAATATATATATATTAATATATATTTATATAAATATTCATTTAGTTTATTAAACAAATAGTAAATTTGGTAAATAATTAAAATTTATTCAAATAAAAATATTATATAATTATATTTTCATAAAGACAAACGCCTATATATTTATATTTATATATATAATCTTCAAATTATATAATAGTTAGTTAATGCAATTTACAATTTTTAGATAAAAAAAAATCAAAACAAAAATTTAAACAAAAATAATAATTATAATCATAATTAATAAATTATAAATTACAGTATTATTATTATGTCATGCAATTGGATATAATATGTGGAAAATTATTTAAAATTATAATTTAGAAAAATAAATAAAATAAGTAATTTTTGCACAAAAAAATTAATTAACTTAAAATTTAAATACTAAATTATTAAAAGTAAAGTGAAATTATTAATAAAAATTAATTAATAAAAATTAATTAATAAAAATTATTATTATTATGTTTAAAAAAATAACAAAAAGTTAGACATTAAAATTATAATAACAAATTTTTTTTTAATATATACTTATTAAATCTTATCGTTGAGTTTTTTTTGCATTTATTGTCAATACATTTATTGATAACACACTAACTCATGTGTGATATATACTGAATATAAGGAATTCAACAACAATAACAAAAATTAAATAATTTCATAAAATAATTTTTTAAAACTTAATTTAAAAGTCATATAAAATATATTTAATAATAATAATAATAATTTATACAATAACAACTTATGTATTAGTTTTTAAAATATAAAGATGATATTTGAATGAAAGGGAGAAAAATGGCAAATAATAATAATATTTTTTTGTTTTGTGTGTTTCAATGACCCATATATTGGTTAAACCGTGAGAGAGAGAGAGAGAGAGAGAGAGAGAGAGAGAGAGAGAGAGAGAGAGAGAGAGAGAGAGCATCTCATTATTGATTCACTGAAAGTTTATGACACAATAGATTAAGTAATGAAAAATAAAAAAATTATCGAAAAAAAATTATGAAATTATATTATAAGATTTTATAACAATAATAAAAAGGGTTCAAAATATTATCAATGATCACTATTTTTATGGCAAATACCTATCACTAAATAATTAAGAAACAAAATGTAGTCATCAAATAAATGTTACATATAATATAAATGTATAAAACATACTATAATTTTAACATATAAATTAAATAATTATAGTAATAAAATAAAAAAGAAATATTAAAAAGTTTACTTAAATTTAAGTAATAATAATTTTTCACGCAATTATAACAACTTTAGATCAGTCAATAATAAATTTTAGGATAATTTAGATGATGTATAGGAATAATAAATAAAAGTCTAGGACAGGGATGTCTAGGAAAGAGAGAGAGAGAGAGAGAGAGAGAGAGAGAGAGAGAGAGAGAGAGAGAGAGAGAGAGAGAGAGAAAGGCAACAATTTGTTGTATGGCTTTTAATTATAATCAAATGATGATTGTTCGCCATCATCTACCGGTTCTTCATCGCGGGTCTGAACAATTGGTCGTTGAGGTTCGGGAGGCGACAACACCGGTGTTATCGGTCTCGGTGCAATTGGTCTCGGTGCCAATGGACGCGGCTGTGATGTCTTGGAAATAGGTCTCGGCTGAGCTATGGGACGACTAACTATTGGACGGGGACCGGGTGCCGGTCGTGGCTGTGGCACAGGTCGGGGAACTGGTGCTGGCGGCAGTGGCCGTTGCACTGGTTGTGGACGCGGAGCGATAGGGCGCTGGATTGGTTGCGGAGCCTTTGAGGGTATCTTTCGCGGGGGTTGCGGTACAACTGGCGCCGGCAGTGGTCTGAAAACGGGTTGTGGCTGTTGTCGAGATGGTTGGCGAGGCGGCTGTCGAGGCGGTTGAACTTTGGTCGGTTGTGGCGGTTGATAACGGGGTGGTTCTATTGGGCGAGAAGGTGGCTGACGGGGTGTTTGGCGCGGCGGTATTGGTGGCAGTGATGGTTGTCTTTGAGGTGGTGGCGGCTGTGGAATTACTGGTCGTGGACCGGGTGCAGGTGCTGGAGATTGTGGCAATTGTGGTGTCTGGTAATCGATATCCTCATCTTCATCATCGGTAGTCTGAACGGGTTGTGATGATGGTATGCGTGATGGTTGCAATGGTTTTACAGCTTGACCGGGTGCTGGTATAACCGGTGCTGAGGGACCAGGCAATGGACCGGGAGACGGTGCTGGTCTGAATGCGGGTCTCGCGGCTACAGCTCCACTATCAGGTCGAGCTGCCGGAGCTGCACCTCCTGGACCAGGTTCGGCACCAGCGCCAGCTTTGCCTAACCAAAAGTAATTATAATTATTATTATTATCTAATAATTAGGTAAATCATAATCTCATACCTAGTTCTTCATTAATACCATAGAAGTTGGGTGTTGTCGAACAGTCCACTGCATGCCAGTAATCGCAGCCAAGTATGGCCTGATTGAAGACAGTGCCGATACCGCACAGGAAGCTCTCTTTGCGGCCCTGAAAACACAGATGATAGGCCTGACATTGGGTCTCCATATCGGCATACATTCCCGGTTCGAACGGCACTCCCTGACAGGTGAAACCTGTTTTCGGTATTTGACTATAACCGGGAAAGTCGACGCCCGGCGTTCCCATTACGCCACCATAGATGGGCGGTTCGGGAACAGCTTCACCGTCGGCCGCGTTGAAGTCGCCTTCGTCTTCTTGCGGCTGTTGCGGGCGTTGCGGTCGACCGGGTCGTGTCCGTTGCGGTGCACCGACATCGCTGATGTCCTCCTGTTCCTCGAAAACCTGTGAGGGAGGAGGTGGTGGTGGCGGCGGACGACTTTTAGTGCCCTGACGTTTGATCTGTTTAATGATTTATCAGTAGATATAAAATACATGTACAGTATGTTTGCGATTATAAAATTTTTTTTTTATTTATAAACATTATTAACATTTGCTATCTGAGTATAAGTTAATCTGACATTAAATTAATTATTATAAATAATTAATAATATGATTTTTATTTAATTAGGTTTTAATTTTGAAAGTATAATTAAAATAAACAAATTTTTGTCTGTTTTTTGTTTGTTTGTTTAATTGTTTATTTCATTTGCTAACAATTTCTTTGTTATGTTTGAATTTGTAATATTTTTTAGTTTGCAAAAAAATCTCAATTACAGTAATAATTACTAATAAAATTGTAATTAATTGTTGGCAATAAAATTGCTGGTATWATAATTATGATAATAATTGGTTTCCTCATATTTATTTATAAAAGTTTTTGTACTTATAAGATAATAATTATAATAATAATAATAAAAATAATAATAATATACATATCATTTTATTATAATATTTAATATTTATTATGTAACTAAAGACCACTAGATGTTTAAAACTAATGCAATAATAATTATATTAATAATTATTTATAAGCAATCATTTTTATAATAATTTATTTTTAATATGCTGCTTTATATATATATACTAATAAAATTTAAACATAAACTATAAAAATTTCATTAATATTACATTTTAAAATTATAAATGCATTAAAATAAATCTACAATTAAAAAATATATATATAAATAAAATAATTAAAACATACCCGGTTATTTTGACAATTAACCGATTCAAGTGATAAATACACAAATAATAATAATAACAGTGAATATTTTAAATACATATTTGTTGTTAAAAAAATTATTTTAAATAAGATCACAGTTTAATGATAATACAAAAAAATATATAGTAAACTCTTAATATAATTTTCACACATAAAACATACAAAATAAAATCCTCTTATAAAGTGATAGAAAAAACAACTTTTAGTTTTCTATACATGTAATCACAAATTGAATCAAACTTTCATAACTTTTTTTTATAATAAAAAAATTTTGTTGATTTCTAACTATTGATGACCCAAACAATAGGTCTCTTAAAGTGTTAGTGAAATCGTTCACTGATAGCGCCGGGCTTTTTATAAACACCTCAACAACAACAACAATAATAACAACAAATATCAAACAACTAACCTAACGGTGCTACAAATGGATTGCCTCTTTTTTGCCTCAATTTGCTTGTCTGGTCGGCTCTCTCTTACTATAGTCTTATATAATATTGTAATAATAATAATAATAATAATAATTTTATGAAAAGCGCATAACAATTGAATAGATATTTCATTTTTCATATATATTTTGTGTGTTAAACCAAAAGGTGAAGGAAGTCTTTTAATGAGAGAGAGAGAGAGAGAGAGAGAGAGAGAGAGAGAGAGAGAGAGAGAGAGAGAGAGAGAGGTTGAAGGAGGAGATGAAGACCCAAATTCTTGACTGGAAAGTGAGTAATAATAATAATAATAATAATAATAAATACAGTAATGTTATAAACTAAAGGATGGCTTAAATATATGAGACTATATAGTATAGTACACACCGTTGTAATCATAATATTATATTAAGCATATATAATATAAATATATATATATATATACATTATATTTATATTTATTTTAATGTCAGTCATATGGTATTTAATAATCCATTGAATTTAATATAATATATGGTTTTATATAAACAGTTTGTTTTATTTTTTTCTATTTCATTGAAAATCACGTAAAACATAACCAAAATTTTAGACACGATTTCAATTAAATCGAGGCAATCGAGAGGCAGATTCCTTTCCCCTCTTTTTTGTATTAACTAACAACACAACAATCGTACAGTAATATTATGTATCTAAAACACCATATATATTATGGATGATTGCCTCATCTATACATATCTGTGCCCATAATAATACAGTTACAAATAAATAATAATAATATGCCATAATTTATTAAAAATCAATATTATAATATGATTAAAAAACAAATTTTGATCGGTGCTCGTGAAGCTTAATAAATATATATATATAAATTATATATATAAATATAATATATATATATTTATTGATTGATTATTAATAAAGTATTAAAGTATTAAAGTACCTTGATGAAGACTTAATTTTATTTTATTTTTTTTAAAAACTATTGACAATATTAATCTGTAAAATATTAACATTTAATAATATTTGTATAAACAGTTTTTTCTCAAATATTTAAATTTCTTAAAATAATAATTTCCAAAAAACAACTGACAATAATCCATAATTTATTTTGAAATTATTATTTAGTAAAAAAATTAATAAAACAAATCAATATATTATTATTATATGAAAAAATCAATGGTTACTATTTTATTATTACTATTATAAATAAATTGATAAAAATAACAAAATTATATTTTTAATATATAAATTATTTAAATAAAAAAGGTTTTATTTTATCAATTTTTTTGATGAGTAAAAATAGGGGTCACAGAGTCAAGGATACAAACAAATATATATATATATAATATATTTAACACTTTATCAGAGAGTTTGTATTTTTTTTATTTAGAAAAATATTTTTTTAGAAATTTAATAATAATATCTAAATATGTAATCTCTTTTGTATTCAATTTATTTATTTATTTTCATAAATACGACTTATTTTATTATAACAACACAACTACTCTACAATTTTTTTTTTGATTGTTATAATTATTGCAAAATTATTATTGCATTAATTGTTTTTTAGAGTTTAATGTTCATATTGATGGTGTCTATAATAATAATAAAAATAAAATAACAATTACTACAAAAGCTAGAATAAAAACAAATAACAACAAAATTTAATTAAAATACTAATTACTATAATAATTTATTATTATTATAACTTTTTTTAAAATTTAATAATTAAAAATAGCACAACTTTTTTTTAACAAATGCTAACCAATGTTAGTTTATTTGTTAAAAGTTCAAAGTCATAGATTTTTATAGCATATTTAAAGTTTATAAATATACTTAATATTTTTCAAAAAAACTAAACTTATTTATAAATACTTCATATTAAATATGAAAAGTTTTTTTAGACATGTATTAATAATAGATAACATGTTTTTTCAACTCTCAATTTGTATGCCATTATAAAGTGAGATTTAAATTATATATAAAAATCTTTATTTTTATAATTTAAAAAAAATAAGTGTGAATACAAAAGTTTTCATTATTATCGTTATTTTCATTGTTATTGTTATTATAGAGACTCACTTTATTAGAGAGAGAAAGAAAGAGAGAGAGAGAGAGAGAGAGAGAGAGAGAGAGAGAGAGAGAGAGAGAGAGAGAGTATTACTACTATAATTATTAGATAGTTTTAATATACAGTATTTATCATATAATATATACAATAATTTTTTTTAGTAAAAAGTATATTTTGAAATCGTATAAAATTATAATAATAATAATAACAAAAATAATCTTGACTTAAATCTTGTTTAAATATTTTTGTATAAAAATAATTTACATTTATTATTATTTTTATTATTATTATTATAACTATTTGATGAAAACCATGTATGTGTGTGTGTGTGTGTGTTAGGTAATGAAAGATAATGATACAAAATTTTTTTGTTTTAACTAAAATTAGTTTTTCTAGTTTTTGTGTGTGAATATGTTTGTAATAAATTTATATATATATATATATATATCTACTGTATATAAAATTACTTACACTTATTATATTAAATTTTATTTTTATTATTAAAAGGTGGATTGGGATGATAAGTATGCCAAATAAAATAAATTGCAATATAAAAGAGTAACCTTTATTTTTTATAATAAAAAAAAATAATAATAATAACAAAATATTTATAATAAATTACCACAATTTCTATTTATTTTTACTGTATTGTTATTATTATTATGATTATTATTATTCTATTTTATTATATTATAAATACAATAATAATAATAGTAGTATCTCAATAGTAGTTGAATTTTAATGCAATAATTTTGACTACAGTTTCAATTTGGGAAAAACTTAACGCAAAATAAAAGTTTTAAATAATGTTATATATTTATAAATAAAAGTATTTATTGATTAATTCACTAATATGTGTTAAAATATAATATATATATACTATATGTACAGTTTTATATACAGTTTATATATAGAGTATTATATTGTTAAGATAATTACTATAATATTTTATTATTTGGGTAATTATTAGTTTTTATTATAATTATATAAAACTGGAAATAATTTTTTTTATATTCTAAATTTAGTACATTATTTCGAAAATACTATTGATTTAATTATCAATATTTTAGGATAGCATATTATAGTACAATTTTTTAACTTTATAAAATAGTTTAGACATCATATATATACTTATAATTTATTAATATATAAAGTATGGGATTTTTTCATATATTTTAAATCAATATATAATAATCAATTTAAAAACACTCATCTATGATACTAAAATGAAATTTTAATTTTTAACAAATATTATAAATCTAATATAAATAAATCATTACTTAATATTGTTGATTAAAAATCATACAAAATAATAATTATTTTTAATTTAAAAATTTAAATTATTATATTTTTTAAAAATTATAAATTGACATTATAACATGAGTATCATTATTATCAAAAATAATTTATTACAGTTTGTAAAATAATGTTTTTATTTATTGTTTAACTTATTGTATAATTTTTATAATTATTTAATATAGTATTTACAATAATAGTCATTGATAAAATTAACTATAAATATAGAAAACAAATAATAATTTATAACTATCATACTATAATTATAATTATATACAATGTTATAAAAATAAGCAATTATAATATAAACATTTATTATTTGTTAATTTAATATTTTAATAAAACTTTTATTATCGTTATTTGTAAATATAATCAATTTTAAATATGAAGATTTTTTTTTGTTTTTTTAAATATTCAATAACAATTTGATAATTAAATAATAATTTGTAATCAATTATATATTTTTCTGCAATAATGTTAAGTTGAATACTAAAATAGTGTCCAATTTTTAACAGTTATTTTACAATTAACTAAAATAATTAAATGCTAATATCATATATTCAGTAATAAATTCTTAGTTTTCAAGTGCATATACAGTATATATATATATATATATATATATATATATATATTTATTTATTTATTTATATAAAATATTATATTCAAACAAAGTTGAAAAATTTCCTTGAAAATTTTTTAAAAATAGTTTATGATGTTAGTTAACAACAATTATATACATTTTTTCGTTGTTGAAAATACATACACAAAATAACTTGTATTCAACACAAGTAATTGATAGTTAACAATGAATGGTAATAATTTGTATTCATTTACAATAAATACTGTAATAACAAATATATAATAAAATATAATATAATATAGTGTACAGTACTGTTTATACATAAAAATATATGATTATATGAAAATATATTATAGAGTATAATATAGACAGACAGTATTGCAATTATTAGCACAAAATATAGATAACAAAAGATAAATATATTGTTTTTTTTCGAAAAAAAATTATACTAAGATTTATAATTATTTTTATAACTGTATTTTCTTTTAGTATAATAAAAATATTTTATTTTATTTTGGAAATTACAAAACACTAACAATAGATTACTTTATTATATACTACATTATAATCAATGGTTATCATAATAACAACGATTTAACAGACATTTGTTCAAAAAATATATATATAAATTGAATTTCTAATATAAATTACAATATATATATATATATATATTGTATAATAAAATTTAAAATTTTTAATAATAATAATAATATTAATATAGTATTAATAAATAATAATAAAATAGGTATTTTGTTTGTCAAAATCCAGTTTATATTTAAATATCCACTTTTAAAATTATAATATAAATGTTTAAGTAATACTTTTTATAATAACAGTTATTTAGCTATAAATAATCCACTGTGTATTTTGCTAATAC